AAGATTCAAGGAGTTGGGTCACGAACGGGAACCTAATCTAAATCGAAAGAGATTCACCAGGGTGTTGCCGGGTATGGAAGGTTTGAGTTATGAAGAAAGGCTGGATAGACTGGGACTTTCTCCACTGGAGCACAGGAGGTTGAGAGGTGACCTAATAGAAGCTTATAAAATAATGAGAGGTATACATAGAGTTAACGGTAGTTGAACTTTTCCCTAGGATGGGGGATTTCAAGATTGGAGGCACATTTTTAAGGTGAGAGGAGGGAGATTTAAAAAAAACATGGAGGCAACTTTTTTTTTTTTACACAGAGGGTGGTTAGCATGCGGAATGAGCTTCCTGAGGAAGTGATGGCTGTGGGTACAATTACAATGTTTAAAAAGACATTTGGATAAGTACGTGAAAAGAACAGGTTTGGAGAAATATGGCCCGAGAGCAGGCAGGTGGGACTAGTTTAGTTTGGGATTATGGTTGGCATGGACTGGTTGGCCTGAAGGGTCTGTTTCCATGCCATATGACTTTAAGACATAGATACGAAGGATTAAAAAAAAAGTTCAATAGCACCAGCCCAAACCACAGGAGCTGATGAGTTACTTCTTTACTTTCTTCCAAATTATTTTAGTTGTTTGACACAAGGTTTTTGCGTTCCAATATTTGCTTTCATTTCCTGGTTGAGAATTCCTCCTTAGCTGTCACCGAAGACAATCTAGCACCTACAGACAAGCCAGATTTTTTTATGCTTTCTCTTTGCAGACTAAGTAGCATGACCATAAGACACATAAGCAAAAGTAGGCCATTCAGCCCACTGTGTCTACTCTGCCATGCAGTGAGATCATGACTGATCAGATAATTCACAACCCCACTTTTCTGCTTTCTTCCTACATCCTGAATTCAATACTGATAAAGCACCTACCTATCTCAGTCCTGGATATACTTAATGATATAGCATGATAGCCCTCTGTGGTAAAGAACTCCATGAACTCAACAGTCTGAAAGACAAAACCCTTTTCATCTGTCTTAAACTGGCAAATCCTTGCTCTGAGATTGCGTCCTCTGGTCCTAGGCTCTCCCACAGGGAGAAACAACCTCTCCAAGCCAACTATGTCAAGCCCCTAAGAATCTTTTTTGTTTTGTTTGTTGACAAATGCCAACAGAGCATTCGCCTTCCCTATTACCTGCTGTGCTTGGGTGCTAACTTTGTCTGAATCAAACAAAAGGACCCGAAAAATCCCTCTGTGCTGCAGATTTGTGTGGTCTCTCCCAATTTGAATAAAATTCAGCTCCTCTATTCTTCCTGCTAAAGTGCACAAATTTTTCATATTATATTCTATTCTATTCGGAAGTTTGCTCACTCATTTAACCTGCCCATATTCCTTATATCATCCTCACTAGTTGCCTACCTATCTATTTTTGCGTCACCCACAAACTTGGTAATCCATCATTTATGTATTAAAATTAATTGTGGTTCCAGAATCCTTGTAGCACTCCACTAGTCACAAGTTCCTAGAAAATGCCCCCTTTTATCCCAACACTCTCTTCTATTAGTGAGACATTCTAATTACTAATATCCTATCCCCAAAATGCATATTATTATGTAGCCTATGTACAGTACCTTATTTGGGTTTCCAAATGCATATGATATAGTACTGTTCTCCTCAAAGGGCTGGAATACATGTGTCAGGCATGATATCCTCATCATGAAGCCATGCTGACTCTGGTTGATTATATTATGAGTTTCTATAACATCCTGTATAATACACTGACATTTTCCCAACGACAGCTCATGAGCTAACCGGCCTGTGGTTGTCTGGTTTTTGTCTCTTTCCATTTTTTGAAATAAACATAAGACATTGATAGTTTTCCAGTCCTCTGGGAATTTTCCAAAATCTAAGGATTCTGGGACAGTTATTAGCTGTGCATCCACCTTCTCTGTAGCTACTTCCTTTAAAATTCTAGGATGCAACCTTTCAGTCCAGGGGGCTTATTAGCCTTTAGCCCCATTCGTTTCCAGAGTACTTTTTCTCTAGAGACAGTTATTGTGTTTATAGCTCCTCCCATCCAGTCCCTTCATTGTTTAGGATTTTGAAACATTTAGTATCCTGCGCTACAAAAACTGATGCAAAGTATTTAATCAACACTTATGGCATTTCATACCTCCCCATCATTTCTCTGCTGCACTGCCCCCACATGATTCATAGTCTCCTGGTCAGGAGTCAACAGACATCATTGTCAAGCAACCTTCCCTTAATTTTAAATCTTTTCTTTACCTCTCACTTTCCAAGAAAAATAGAACATTGTATATAACAATTTATTTCCAGTAAACGTGATTTTTAAAACTGCAGCTCTCTTTACAGAGTCTTCTTTAAACAGTACCATCTTTTAGTCCACAGTCCAAAAGAAAGGAAACAAAAAGATGTGCTTTTTACAGTATCACGAGTTTGTCGTCAGTGCCACCTGTAGAACTTTTGAAATAAAAATCCAACTCCATTTCTCTTTGGAAAGATTAAATCAAGCAGTACCAATGTTAATGTATCTATTAGCCCCCACAATTCTCTTCTCTGACATTGCTCAAGATTGGTACATGTTGTACATGTTCGCCTTGACTTGTGTCATTTACCCTATCACAAATGTGCCAGTACTGATCATCTGTATCTCTACCATGATGCTCCTAGTTTCTTTTCACATATAAAAATCAGTTTGGATACTTGATCACTTCTTCATAATCTTTTACGTAGACAATGGAACCACTATTACTAGCTATTCATTTTACCATACATTCACCAGAATTGCATGTGAAACTACAGGTAAAGGACTGCTTTCCTCATTAGAGAGATGACTGGTAGTAGTCTATCCTGAGGGTGACCACACCTCAGTCAATGGGAGAGGTTGAAAGATACTACAGGAACGCACTTGCAACACTGCAGAAATGAATGCATTAAAGACTAGTCTCAGTATTACCATGCTTTATTCCAATTCCCAACAGTTATAATAAGATAGATCACATTGATCGAAATGTTCTCATGGTAATGATCTCTCCCAATCATTTGCATCTTTGCCAATGGAAAAGTCCTCACTTTACTATCTCCTCTTCAAGATGCATTGTTCTGACTGCTTTACTCATGTTCCACGAGATATCTACCTGCATAACTGTTCACTTTTTGCCAGACATTGATTGCTGTTCTTCCTATTTAGTGGTTCACATTGCTCAATGAGATAAACAAATTTATTGCTCTGCTTTTTATCATTCACACCTCCGCTTTAACCTCAGGGTGGACATTTTCTTTTAATTACCACATGCCTTGACGCTAAACCAATTCTGAGTGTATTGACGGTTCATCATCTAGTTAATTGACTAGTTTATCATTTTGTCTTACATGTGAAATGCTGTTGAACATATTTTGAAAACCCAAGTGGACTACATTTAAAGAATCAACCAAACTCACCAACAAAAAGGCTACGGAATACGTAATGAAGTTAACTTTGCTTTGAATTTTCTTCCCCCTTATGTTGAAAGGGACACCTTCTGTTTTTCTTTCAAGCGATCCTTCTTCATACGTTGGAGTAGTATCAGGTTAGTATAACCACAAAAGGCAGCAATGCCAGGTCAGATCTCATTTATGCCAATGTCCACACATACAATTTTCCTGCCTAGAAAGTGGTTGGTATGCAAGGGGGGAGAATCGTAGCTACTTTTCTTGTCACTAGTCCAGGATGCTGAAGCTACTTTTTGCATTATCATCGTACCCTAGTCAGACAAGAGTATAAAAGAAGTCTAAGAATACTATGTACTCAATCGGGGAAATTGCAGAGGGTCTAAATTTCCCCATGATATTCAATATTATTTTTCCTATATTCTTTGTTATATTCTATTTGGAACTACTTTTGGCATTCTATATTTCAGAAAATTAATGTATAGACAACAGTCAAGAACAATTTGGTCTTAAACCATAAAAGAACCAGTGCTCTAAAGTAGACTTAAAAATGTACTACCACACTGAGTGAAAAGGAAAGATAAAACTTACTTTTGTATTCGCTTCTCTATGACTGGTCGCACTGCGCTGACCCAGTCATCTTGACTGCACGGCCCTAAGAAAAGGAAAACACAGTCAATACAGAAATGATATCGTACTGAGGTCATTAACAAATAAAAGCCCTTTTCTGAAAACTCATGTGTCCCATAGAGTTGATACCTATAAGAACAGATTATTTTACAACAATAACAATGTTCCCTGATTGGAGAACATAATCTGAGAACTAAAAAAGAAATTTACAGCACAGGAGCACATTCAGCCCAACATTTTTTTTAATTCATTAACGGGATGAGGATGTCGCTGGCTAGGCAGCATTTATTGTCCATCCCTAATTGCCCAGAGGGCAGTCCAGAGTCAACGACATTGCTGTGGGTCTGGAGTCACATGTAGGCTAGACCAGGTACGGACGGCAGTTTCCTTCCCTAAAGGTCATTAGTGAACCAGATGGGTTTTTCCTGACAATCAACAATGGATTCATGGTCATCATTAGATCCTTAATTCCAGATATTTTATTGAATTCAAATTCACCATCTGCCATGGCGGGATTCAAACCCGGGTCCCCAGAATGTTATCTGGTTTTCTGAATTAACAGTCCTGCAATAATACCACTAGGCTATTGCCTCCCCAAGTGCGGCTCGCGCCAGTCAACAAGTGGCTATTCAGCCTAATCCCACCTTCCAGTTCTTCAGTACATATCCAAATTCCTTTTAAATGTTGAGGGTTTCTGCTTCCACCACCCTTTCAGGTTGGGAATTCCAGATCCACACCACCCTCTGGGTGAAAAGACTTCCCCCTTACTCCCCTCTTAACTTCCTACTTCATATGCTACATCCATAGCTCTTTGTTACGTATTCGTCAACCAAAGGAAATAGGGCCTGCCGACCCACACTCCCCAGATCTCTCATAACATCATTACATCTCCCCTCAACCTTCTCTATTCTCAAGAAAATAATTTTAGCTTGCTCAAGCTTTCTTTATAACTAAAATACTCCAATGAAAGCAACATCCTCATAAATCTCCTCTGCACCCACTCTAGTCTATCAATACCCATTAGGAAAGGTTAATCTTGATGTAAACACATCCTTCATTATAACAAACATTGTGTACAATGTAAAAAGCTGGTGTTTAGAAAACATGGCTTTCAACTTATCACAAGCAATAACATAGGAAATTCATTAGTACATAGCCTCAAACAGTTGCATTCAAAGTCTCCAATGTTTTAAAAACAAACACAAGCAGGAGAAAAACGCTGCTGTTTGACAGATGACTTCAAGTAATTTTGAACCAAGCGCCAAGTGAAGGAGCTCTCCCGTTGCTAATAAAATTTTCAATGTCTATTGAAGTTTCAACAAGCACTTAAAAAATACATTAAGATCAGACAAAGTCAACATGGGGAACAATATTTGGCAACTGCGTTAATTCTTTGAGAATTGAACTTGCAGGGCAGATTTCCAAAAGGCATTTTTTTATTAAGATGCCACACAAATGGTTAATGTACAAGATACGTGCTTATGGAATTGGGTTGATGCATTAGCATGAATAGAAGATTAGTTGATGAATAAGAAGCAGAGGGTTGGGGTACTTTCTACAATCAGGACACCTGAAGATTGAAAAGTTGTGACGAGTGGAATGCTGCAAGAATTAGTGGTGGGGTTTCATCCATTTACAATCCATATTAAATGACTTTGATAAAGTGCTCAAGATTAGCTAAGCTTGCTGACAGTATGAAGCTAGGTGGAAATGCAAGCTGCGAGGAGGACACAAGGAGGCTGCGAAGAGATATAATCTAAGTGGGTGGCAACATGTGAAATGCGCCACGCAGTTATTTCAATATGCAGGAGACCGAAACCACAAAATAATAAATGTTCAATTTTACTGTCAATACCATAAACAAGGAAATAACAGGACAATCACAACAAGATTATTAGGATGTGAAGTATCTTCTGGATTTCAATGAAGAACAAGTAGTACAGACAGGAGAAAGTGTTAACGTCAAACTCATTCTGTAATGCGTAAAATTCCTGCGAAAAAGAATTAAAATTCGCCACAAATATTTATCACAGTAGTTGCTTTCCTAAGGTGGCATAAACAGAATGCATTATGTGGCAATGTGGGCTACATCTTTAGCTAATAAATAAAGAATGACTAACACAGCTGTCAAGTCATATCCCAACAAATATCACCATCTTCAGCTGGGCAAGAAGGAGAATGTATAATTAAACAAAATAGGTTGATTTCTTTAAAAAACTAAATTTCATTGCAGTAGCAATCTTAATTATACAAAAGGAAAATAGAATATATACACACACAATCTTTTTAAGAAGTGATTCTCATTGTCTGTAAAAAGCTAATTATCCCCAGTCCTATTTACCTTCAATTGAGCTACTAAATGTATAAACAGACAAAATGTGTAAGTAGCTCATGCTAAATATCAAAATCATCTTTACCCAAGTCAATCGGTCCTTCTCTTAATCCATCTAATTCATATAATCTTCCATGGACGGGAAAGTAACTGACAAAATGGAATGCATCTTCTTCCTTTCCTGCAGTCTTAGCATCAAACTCAAACATCTGCTGCCTGGTAAGGAAAGTGGCAGATTAAGTTAAGAACAATTTTGGGAAAAGGTGATAAGGAAACAAGACACATGGTGTAGGCTTCTTCATACCTGGCAAAGCCATTGTGAACTTGTCGAATGACTTCTGAGTTGCTCAGTGCCAAGCCTTTCATCTGTTTTAATGGAAAAAGACAGTCAGTATAAAGAGCGCTTTACTCCTATATTGTATTAAAGGTGTACATGAGATGTTTGTTTCACGAGACTGCTCTGAGTTGGAATTAAACAGAGTGACAACTTGCACCCGGAGGTCCAATCAGGTAGAATGTTTTAAAAAATGTCACATCAGCAATCCAAAACAAGGTAAAGAGATTAAAAACAGAGTAAATTGTGACTTTTAAGCTTTTTTTTAAAAGAATGTACTGATTACATTTTGTATTGCTTTTGCCCTTTCGCCCCCTTGAGGTCTACATTAGCCACAGAAAATTTTGCAACTAAAGCCAGTAGAAGTCTGATTTCAGTGTCTGTGCCAGGACTGAATGTCACAAAATATAAATTAATAGTTCAAGTGACTGGTCAATTATTATTATCCTTTCTCTCCCAGCAGGGAAAGTGTGGTCTGCACTCAGTTGGTGTTTCAATAAAGAAGAGAACTTGTTATCTGGGAACTATAACAGCAGTGACACCCATTTGGCTTCCTAACTTTCTAAAGATCTTCAAGAGGCAAATTCATCTCAACACGCAGGAAAGCTCAATTTGAAGATACTAAAGACTCTTCTTGCCAACTCAATACAAGCTCCATTTAAAATAAAATAGAACTGTATTGTGTGAATCGTATCATGTCAACTTAAATTATTTTCAAAAGTTTCATGTCTAGAAGCTACAAAGCTTTTTTTTAAAAAACAGATCTGAAGCTGTAGTTATGTATTCAATATTACTAAGAGGAAATGCTCTATTATTATAGAAAATAGACTACACATAACTAAACTATTTAGCTATACTTACAGCAGCATCAAAGCTTTGTGAAAATTCTTTAAATTCTCCAAGAGTTTCTCCTAGTTCTATATCTGGATGGATACAATTCAGCAACACACTAATAATGGCTTGTGTGGCACAGGCATTATTGATAACCTTAAGAAAGAAAACAATAAGAGTCAAAAAAAATGAGATACCTTATCTACAATTGTGTTAAGATTTTTTTAAAAAAATGGTTTAATAAATGTAGACATAAATACAGCAATCTCAGCTTAGGAAGAGGAGGAGAAAATAAAAAGTCAGCCAAAGTTGACCATCTTGATTATCAAGAGACTTATGATGCACACAAGACACAGAAATAGGTGATAGGCGCTAACAGGTTTAGATCTGCATTAATGCTCCACATGAGTCTCATTTCTACCCTTCTATCTAAATATATCAACATGCTACTTTTCTTTCAACCTCATGAGAGTCTGGCTTCCTCTTAAGACATGTCAATGATATGTGCCTCACCCCATGACATGTAATTGCACTTTCTGATTAAAGAAGCTTCTCCTGAATTCCCTATTACAGTTATTAGTCACCACTTTATATTTGTGAACCCTCGACCAGGCTTGGCCTGCAAGTAAAAGCATCTTCTGTGTTTATCCTATCGAGCTCTTTCATAACCTTAAAAATGTTTGCTGGGAAAGACATGTCCAGAGGAAATCAGGATTAGCTATTATGCCACAGTCAAATAGCCTAATGCTTCAGCTCTCATAAGTAGGATGTCTGTGCAGACAAGGTAAAAGTAAAAATACATGGTTCATTTATTAGAATTCACCTGCTCTTATGCATCAGTTAAACATATACCAAATAATTTTATAAGTTAGGATGTATGTTCAAAACTTAAAGCAAACATTAATTTAAAATGTCAAAAGGAAAGATTCCATAACTTATTAACATTTGGACATGCTGCATTAATATGATGACAAAGTTTTACTACCATGCAATTTCAACTCAATAGCACACAGCCTGTGTCATTAGACGCTGATTATACTAAACCTGTATGCTATTGACAAAATAGACAAAAATAATTGAGAGCGATGACAAACAGCCACTTGATACTACAGAACTTGAATATTGCTGAAAGAGCAAGGGATCTGTTTTTGGTCTTATACACAGCAGTACAAATACAAGGATGGTTTCTCATTTTCTTCTGCATGGCAATGCTCAGCCAATTACAGCTAAGCTGCCAATCAATCAGCATTCCTTTCCTCCAGTACTATGAATTATTGCGATCATTTGGAATTAATATTCTTGTGTTTGTTCTGACGACTGCAGGATGAAAAGCCTTCGGCAACGTGCCTCTTGATTCAGCAATGTTCATAAGACATTACCTTAAACTATTTATGACTAAGAAAGAACTACGTTTCAAGCCTTCATTCTATACAAAAAAATTACAATAGTGTTAATATTTTCATAAAAGTAATTATATATAATTTTCAAGAGAAAGATTCAGAACAGCACACAACAACCTTCAGGTGTTGCTGAATATATATGTGGTACCCCCAAAACAAGAGACTTCTCAGCCAATAGTGAACAGGTCAGCAGGACGTGTAATAATTGAGATTAATCAGGCAGCTGAAAAATAGTGATAAACATCACTTTCCGTGTGTTAAATCCGCATTTCTAACTCTCATTTTCACGATATCCAGAAAACAGCTGGGACTAAAAATCTACCACTATGTAATTATCCAATCATCAAAAAAGAAAAGGCAGAATAGCAGCTAATACAATGTACCACCAGGATCAATATTCCATGTAATGAACGATGCTGGGGTTACTCAGAACAACTTTGAGTTTAAAATTCTCATTCTCACAGTGTCTTGTCCTTCCATAGTTCTTTAGTCTCCTCCAGTCATCCAAATTATCAGTATTCGGTCTGGCCTTTCAGTGTAGATTTTAAATTGCTCCACGGTACATTCAGCCATCAAAGCCCAATGCAATGGAAATCTCTCCCTAAAATTTTCCAGATTCCCTTTTTGCATTGAAGATTTCCTCTAAAACATACTTCCAAATGCCAAACATTACTTATTAACCCAGCAATAAAATACCCTAAATTGCTTTATTAAGTTAAAGGCAAAATCAAGCTGCTGATGTTGAGATGATGTGGGATTAGTGAGTTCAGTCTAAATAAATGCTTCATTTTCTAAATTGGTTTTCCTTTCAGTCTTTCTTCAGTAGTCTTCTCCAGCTTCCCTAGTCCCCACTGATGCATCTTTATTTCTGGTAACTGAAAATGCCATTGCAAGAAGAATTTTTACTGATTGCTTTAACAATAAAATAATAGCATCTTTTTCAGCTGATTTGCAATTGTCTTTCATTTCCAATTAATGAAAACATATTCATTAAGCTTACTTGTTTAGCAAAGAAGATCTTCTCAAGTCTTGAATCTTGGACAATGGATCCTGCTGGTTCTTCTCCTGGCTGCCACTTGAATAAGAAGATGAGGCCATGGACTGGTCTAGAAAGAATGATAAATACTGAAGTTTTCACACGACAATTTTGTAAATCATTATTATGTAAATCATTACATACCCCAACTGAAAATATACACCCATCAGTCTCTATTAAAACATTGCTGTGAACACTTCAATCATACTAAATGGTTAGAATGTGTGTCCACTACCAGATAGAGCAAACCATCATGAATGCAATAAAACTGGGGTGAAAGTGTTTGAGGACTTGCTGTATATGAAAAATGCAAGTTCCTTTCACTAGAAGCATGTTTAAAGAATTTATACAAATATCACAAGCAGACTGAGCAGCAGGTGTATAGCTCCAATTTCTGTAAATCTTTAAGCATCAGACAAATCAGTTGAAAAAACTTCCCTTCCCATTACAAGTTTCAGAATCCAAATGCACTTCTTTCCCATCAACGTAAGTACTAAATCACGATAATCAATTGAAAGCAAGCTGTTTAATTCCAAAATTGTTGGATGGAAAATAAAGAGATGGGAGATAAATCCAACAGATGTTGTATTAATTTTTGTTAGAGAGAATGTAAGTAATATCCTAGAAATAGGAAGCAGAAGGGAGGGTGGAACTGAAGAAATTTACAATCAATCATTAGGGAAGTGGTATTGAGTAAATTTTTGGCGCTGCTGGCAGACAAGGTCTTAGGTCCTGATGGACATTGCTGTCTTAATATTGAGATAGTTGATGCTTAAGTTTTAATTTGCCAAAATTCCCTAGGCTCGGAAGGTTCCATTAAATCGGAATCTAGCAAGTGTAATGCCTTTATTCTCAAATAGAGGGAGACAAAAAGCAGGAAACTGCAGGTAAGTTGGTTCAGCATGTCATCGGGAAGATTTTCAAAAATTGTTACAAGCTATTGTTAGAGACATTATGGCAGGACACGCAGAAAAATTCAAGATAATTCAGGCAGTGCCAACAGCGTTTTGAGAGAGTTCTTTGAGGAAGTACCATGTGCAGTGGATAAAGGGGATGTATTGTATTTAGATTTCCTGAAGGTACTTGATGAAGTGTCACACTGGGTCAAAGCCCATAATAATGTAGCAGGTGACATTTTGGCTTTGAGGATTGGCTAGTTAACAGGAAGTAGTAGGCATAAATGGTTTATTTTGTGCAACAAAATGTAATCAGTCGAGTGCCATATTAATTTTGAAGCCTCAACTTCTTTCTATTTTTATAGCAAGACAGAATTTAACCATCGTCCTTTGACATTCAATAGCATTACCATCACTAAAACCCCCACTATCAATATCCTGACACTAACTGGATGAGACATACAAATACAATGACTACAAGAGCAGGTCAGAGGCTAGGGATCCTGCAACAAGTAATTCACCTCATAACTTCCCAGTGTGTCCACCATGTAAAGGTCAGGAATGTGATGGAATACTCCCCGCTTGCCTGAATCAGTGCTGCTATATCAACACTCAAGAAGCTTGACACCATACAGCACAAAGTTGGCCCACTTGACTGGCACCACACCTACATCCACTCCCTCACCATCCATGTTCAGTAGCAACGGTGTGTACCATCTACAAAATGTACCGCAAAAATTCACCAAGGTTCCTTAGACAGCAAATACAAGACCACTTCCATCTAAAAGGACAAGGGTAGCAGGTACATGGAAAACCATCAACTCCAAGCTCTCACTCACCATCTTGACTTGGAAATATATCACTGTTCCTTCAGTGTCAATGGGCTAAATTTATGGAATTCCCTCCCTAACAAGAGTTGTTTAAGAAACCAGATCACTACGATCTTCTGAAGGGCAACATATTTTTCTCATTCTACTGTGGTTTATTCAGAATAATTTTGTTTTCCAATGAGAAAAATTGTTTAACATTCAGAAAGATCTAAATGCACAAATAATGCACGTACTCATGCAACCATTTCATTAACTACATAACAAAAGGTCAAGTTTTTTTATGCCTACCTCTAATATCAGGTTACTACATTAGAATTATTCAAGGGCATCTCATCAAATTAATAATAGACACCTAATATTACAGCAGTTACATTCAATGTTGGTCACTTTTGTATGAATTGGTAGCATACTCCATGCCATTGATGCACGTGAAATTCAGAGATTAGTCAGTGGAGCACCAGAAATTTAACAAAAAAAAACTTATTTTTTGACATGGCTCAAATAGTATTTATATTAAATATAAAAAAATTAAAAATATCAGGCAGGAATTTTATCTATCATTCTGCTCACATTAACAATGAGCATTGAAGTTAAATACATAAACAGTTAGAAATGGGATTCTATCACGTAAACAGTCACCTGTACATTCCCACTAAATATACTGTATAGAACAAAGAACAAAGAAAATTACAGCACAGGAACAGGCCCTTCAGCCCTCCAAGCCTGTGCCAATCCGGATCCTTTATTTAAACCTGTTGCCTATTTTCCAAGGATCTGTATCCCTCTGCTCCCCGTCCATTCATGTATCTGTCTAGATACATCTTAAATGACGCTATTGTGCCCGCCTCTACCATCTCCGCTGGCAACGCGTTCCAGGCACCCACCACCCTCTGCGTAAAGAACTTTCCATGTATATCTCCCTGAAACTTTTCCCCTCTCACCTTGAAATCGTGACCCCTAGTAATTGAGTCCCCCACTCTGGGAAAAAGCTTCTTGCTATCCACCCTGTCTATACCTCTCATGATTTTGTAAACCTCAATCAATCAGGTCCCCCCTCAACCTCCGTCTTTCTAATGTAAATAATTCTAAACTACTCAACCTCTCTTCATAGCTAGCGCCCTCCATACCAGGCAACATCCTGGTGAACCTCCTCTGCACCCTCTCCAAAGCATCCACATCCTTTTGGTAATGTGGCGACCAGAACTGTACGCAGTATTCCAAATGTGGTCAAACCAAAGTCCTATACAACTGTAACATGACCTGCCAACTCTTGTACTCAATACCCTGTCTGATGAATGAAAGCATGCCGTATGCCTCCTTGACCACTCTATCAACCTGCGTTGCCAACTTCAGGGTACAATAGACCTGAACACCCAGATCTCTGTGCATCAATTTTCCCCAGGGCTTTTCCATTTACCATATAGTTCGCTCTTGAATTGGATCTTCCAAAATGCATCACCTCGCATTTGCCTGGATTGAACGCCATCTGCCATTTCTCCGCCCAACCCTCCAATCTATCTATATTCTGCTGCATTCTCTGACAGTGCCCTTCACTATCTGCTACTCCACCAATCTTAGTGTCATCTGCAACCTTGCTAATCAGACCATCTACACCTTCCTCCAGATCATTTATGTATATCACAAACAACAGAGGTCCCAACACGGATCCCTGTGGAACACCACTGGTCATAGTTCTCCATTTTGAGAAACTCCCTTCCACTGCAACTCTCTGTCTCCTGTTGCCCAGCCAGTTCTCTATCCATCTAGCTAGTACACCCTGGACCCCATGCGACTTCACTTTTTCCATCAGCCTACCATGGGGAACCTTATCAGACGCCTTACTGAAGTCCATGTATATGACAGCTACAGCCCTTCCCTCATCAATCAATTTTGTCACTTCCTCAAAGAATTCTATCAAGTTGGTAAGACATGACCTTCCCTGCACAAAACCATGCTGCCTATTACTAATAAGCCCATTTTCTTCCAAATGTAAATAGATTCTGTCCCTCAGTATCTTCTCCAGCAGCTTCCCCACCACTGACGTCAGGCTCACCGGTCTAGAATTACCTGGATTATCCTTGCTACCCTTCTTAAACAAGGGGACAACATTAGCAATTATGCAGTCCTCTGGGACCTCACCAGTGCTAAAGGATGCTGCAAAGATATCTGTTAAGGCCCCAGCTATTTCCTCTCCCGCTTCCCTCAGTAACCTGGGATAGATCCTATCCGGACCTGGGGACTTGTCCACCCTAATGCCTTTTAGAATACCCAACACTTCCCCCCTCCTTATGCCGACTTGACCTAGATTAATCAAACATCTATCCCCAACCTCAACATCTGTCATGTCGCTCTCCTTGGTGAATACCGATGCAAAGTACTCATTAAGAATCTCACTCATTTTCTCTGACTCCTCGCATAACTTCCCTCCTTTGTCCTTGAGTGGGCCAATCCTTTCTCTAGTTACCCTCTTGCTCCTTATGTATGAATAAAAGGCTTTGGGATTTTCCTTCAAGCACCTTCTCTTCAGTTCACCTATTTTTTAAGCACATCCTGAAATAGAAAGTCTTATATCATGTTTCTACTGCCAATCACTTTGACATTTCTCGAAAATTCTGTGGTAGATTTTGGTTCATGTTTATGCCTCTATACTTGCCGATTACTTAATGCGCTGTCAGATTTATGTACCATTAAAGCCTCGGGATTTCAGCCACATTGATATTAATGTTGGCCTGGTCGAATTTGTTTGGCATTATTCATTCACCTCAACAAACTTGTGCTGCTTCATCTATCTCTGGAACACAGTCAGCCACAGACAACTTTGCCAACAAACCCAAACATTGGGAACAGGCACTTACTTCTGCCTCACCAAAATAATCTGTGTTACAGAGTACATTAAGAACTGCATCAACAGTTCCTAATGCATAATAAATTATTTCTTATTAAAGGGTTTTATCATTTGTAAAATTACAGTTGCAGAGATCAAAAAAATAAGAGCATAGTCGTGAGGCTAATTTTGTGAACCATTTTCCAAGGTATAATGCACTATACCTTAGAAACTCCATAACTAATCTTCAGAAACAGCAGAGCTCTCCAAGTAGGAACCACTGCTTTTTCCACTTAACTACTACCAAAGCCCCAAAAATAACAGAAAACAGCATTGAGGAATTTGATGAATGCCAAAGCAGACATTAGAAATAGGAGAGGCTAAGGGAAATTTAGTCAGATCACCTTTCACATATCCCCTGGGATAATCCATTATCAGACTATTCAGTTTCACAATCATACATACATTTTAACCAAAAATTAACTCTCATCAAAACCTTCAATGCGTAGTAATTGAAGGGTTGGAAAAATTATTCATGTGGAACTATGATAAAAATATCAGGAAAACCACTCTGACAAGTACAAAGGTTTTATTCTTGTAGCCTGTAATACTATAGTGATACACTATGAAGCTGGTTATTCAGCTCACTGTATCTTTGTAAAAGCTATCCAACTCATTCCATCCTCCTATCCTTTCCCCATATTGATTCTTTTTTTGCCACTTGAAACAGTTGCTCCTCATTTACCCTATCAAAACACTTCATGATTTTGAAACAGAGATAGCAGGAACTGCCGATGCTGGAGAATCTGAGATAACAAGGTGTGAAAGCTGGATGAACACAGAAAATTTTCTGAAGCAGGGTCTTGACCCGAAACATCAGCTTTCCTGCTCCTCTGATGCTGCTTGGCCTGCTGTGTTCATCCAGCTCTACACCTTGTTATCTCATGATTTTGAAAACCTTGATTAAATCACTCCTTAATCTTAAGTGGTCTAAAGAGAACAAACCCGGCTCCTTTGTTTCTCCGCATGCCTGAAATCCCTCATCCTTGGTGCCACTCTAGTTCAATCTTATCCGCATGCTTTCCAAGGCCTTAGCATCTCTCCTATGATATAGTCATCAGGGTATGTCATAAAGAGTTCACAAAGCTTCTTTGCTGGTCAAATCTATTCCTTTTAACAAAGCCTTCTTTAAGTCAGCCTTCCCGACTTGTCCTGCAACCTTCATAAAAATTAGTACATGTTCCCTCCCAAGTCACCCTGTTGCTTAACTCCTATTAAAATTGTACCTTTTAATATTCTTGCCTCTCCTTATTCTTCCTACCAAAACTCCATGTGCACTTCATTGTCTTAAACAGCATCTGTCATGAGTCTGCGAGATCCGCTACCCCCCGTCTATCCACATCTTCTTGAAGTCTGTTGTTATCCAAGTGGCTGTTTACCATAGTGATCTTCCCTTAGCCAATGTGCTGATTTCTTTATTATATGCAAAGATAAAACAGAGATGAAACACAAGCAAGTTTTTCAAGCTGCGTTTTACTTAAGCCTGGTTACTTACTTTAACTTGTCAAAGTGTTCTGGTTCTAGGCTCCATATTTCTTCTACCTGAACACCTTTGCACCCTGAAAAATAACAGCACTGCAGTTAAATACTGGTACAACTTCTTGTACATTTCTAAGGTTTGTCTTAGCATTCCCAACTCATTGTTTTAATTAGATCACCATATCTCATTCTTCAATTCTAGGGAATAAAGTTCGAGACTATACAATCGCGTCTTGTGGGTTAATCTCATCTGGTGCATCATCATTTGACATTTGCTATATTTGCCCTCATAGCTATGTAATCTCCTGTGAACCTTTTCCAAGGAACATCCGCCCTCTAAGGAGACCAAAACTTAGAGCAGTGTTCCTGACAGACTAATCACTATGTACAGTTCTGGTCACTACACTATACGAAGGATGTGACTGCACTGGAGGGGGCGCAGAGGAGATTCACCAGAATGTCACCTGGGCTGGGACATTTTAGCTATGAAGCGAAGCTGTATAAGCGCATGTTGTTTTCTTCAAGCAAAGAAGTTGCAAAGGGGTGCTGATTGAGTTGTATAAGATTATAAGGGCCATGACAGGGTAGATAGAATGCAGCTGTCCCCTTAGCTGAAGGGTCAATAATAAGGGGACAGACTTTTAAGGTAAAGGGCAAAAAATAGAGAGGGGATTTAAGGAAAGGGTTGTATATATAGAAACTTTGTCTTATTTTGGTTATTTCTCATTTGCATGGAGGTCACATCTGGAATATTGTGAAACATTTTGGTCTCATTTGAGGTAGGATATTCTTGCCAAAAGCTTCACCAGACCAAGTACTGGGAAGAAGGGACTGAGCAGTCTAGCTTCATTCCCTGGAAATTAGAACAGTAAGAGTTGATCCAATTAATACACAAAACTGCTGGGGAACTTGGGAGGGAGATGCTGAGAAAATATTTCCCTTGGCTGGCTGATCTAAATTTTACAGTCACAGTCTCCTAGCAAGAGATTGGTCATTTAGGACAGAGATAAGGAGAAATTTCTTCACTGAAAAGATAGCTATTGATGCTTAGTCATTAATTACATCCAAATCAAAGATTTATAGGTATTTGGGTGCTAAGGGGATTAGGGATAGAGGGATAATTCAGGAGGGGTCAGATGAAGCAGAATATCAGCAGTTGAAACACATGTCCTTGTGGGCAGTCTTGAGGGGCCAAATGCACCACTTCTGCATTTTTTTTTTGTTGTAAATCTCAATTAACTGTGCTCAAAAACACCCAAATCCTATTCTCTCAAGGACTTTCAATACCATTTCCTGTACATTATGAAAGTATCTTATGTGTTGGTCCAACCTAATCACATGATATTGCAACTACAGAAATTGCTGGAGAAACTCAACAAGTCTGGCAGCATCTGTGGAGAGAAAGCAGACATAACATTTCAGGTGAATTTTCAAAATGAACGTTACACAAACTGCAACAGAATTTTTTTTCTCTCTGCACCATATCCTATGCTGAGGTGTCTCAATACAATTTCAGTACCCTTTGTGTTTACGATGTATATTCCTCACGTAAAGCAAGAGGGGGTTCTACACAGTTTCCAGCCCCTCGGTGTACTGTGGCTGAAAGGCATTAGGCAATGACATTACTCCAACATGCCTCTGTAGCAGCTGCTTCAAAATTTAGTGCACCATGTAGTCCTGGACCTTGGAATGTATTTGTCTGCAACACTGGGTCGAGGGCAACTCTCTGTACAAAAACATCATCCATTAAGGTGATGGACCTTGAACAGGTAGTGATTGGTTTGATGTGCATTCCTGAGAACTGCCTGGCACACAGAGTCCTGCATGATGAACCTCAACATGAGCTATTCAATCTCTCGACACCCTCTTTACAAAGGCACATTCCAAAAACAGATACCCCAACAGTCTCTTTCCCCACCACAGACACATCAACAGCAGTGTCTAAATTCTTCAAAATTCTAGGAAATAAAGGCCGTGACTATGCAATCTCTTCTTGTGAGTTAATCTCATCTGGTGCTTTACATTCACTATAAGTTAAGCTGCATCTTGCTGTTTATTTGTAATGAAGCATTCTGACAAATGGCTTTGAGTTTACACAGGGAACTAACTGACAGGATCAGACCCCTCCTTTTATTACAGGCCATCTAGGATGTTACATATTAATCACTACCCAAGAGAGTTGCGGTCAAAAGGTTTTTTTTGTATGAATATTTCCAAGAGGGACCGGTAGTGCGGCAGGATGTAACCACTTGGAACATTACATCTCAATGTGGACAGACTTATCCTTTGCAATACTGGAGACAGGTAGAACCTCAGCACATAGTGGCATTTGATGAAAAAGACAAAAATAATTTGCTTCATAATGACCTTTTAATTTTATGCATTGGGATCAAAGACAAAGCTAGCATTTATTATACATTTGTAATTGCCTTTGAGAATCTGGTATTCAGCAAATTTCTTGCAACATCACAGTCCATGTCATATAGGTAGACCCACAGCATACTTAAGGAGGGAGTTCAAGAATTTTGACCCAATGAAAGAACAGTGATACACTAGGTCATGGAAATGCGCTCTAGCAATGGCAAAAACTTGGCTCAAAAAGAGCAGAACTAGGTATTAAATATTCAAGGGTACAAGTCATTCAGGAAGGATACAGAAGGAAAGAAACAAAGCCATATTGATGAAGGCAAACATTACATTATTGGAGCGAAAGTGCCCTAGATAGATCAAGGACAAAATCTATTTGATCAGATCAAAGAAACCAGTTGCAATGCCATTATATCGCTGGGCGTATTAAGTAGGTTACAACTAATGGAATTAGATATTGAAGAATGAATTTGCAAAAAAATCGCTAAGATCTCTGGAAAGCTCCAAATTATTCAATAATTTTGGAGATCATAAATAGGGCATCAAAGTCTGAGATGAAATCTTTAGTTTGGCAGGGGGACCTTGATCAGATGGGCCAAAGGACTGAGGAATGGGAGATGGAGTTTAATTTAGATAAATGTGAGGTGTTGCATTTTAGTAAGGCAAACCAGGGCAGGACTTATACAGTTAATGGTAGGGCACAGGAGAGAGTTGCTAAACAAAGAGACCGAAGGATGAAGGTGCATGAATGCTTGCCTTCATTAGTCAGAACATTGAGTATAGGAGTTGGGACGTCGTGTTGCGGCTGTAAAGGACACTGGAGAGGCCACTCCTATAATTCTGAATGGCAATCAGAGTTGCAAGCTATTGAAAAGATACTGTTAAACTTGAGAGAGTACAGAAAAGATTTACAAGGATATTGCTGAGACTGGAGGGTGAGTTACTTGAAGAGGTTGAACAGGCTGGGGCATTTTTCCCTGGTGCAAAGGCTGAGGGGTGACCTTATAAAGGTTTATAAAATCATGAGGGGCATGGATAGGGTGAATAGCCAAGGTCTTTTTCAGAGGGTAGGGAGTCCAAAAGTAGAGGGCAGAGGTTTATGGTGAGTGGGGAAAGATTTAAAAAGGACCTGAAGAGTAACCTTTTCATGCAGAAAGTGGTGGTTGTATGGAACGAACCTCCAAAGGAAGTAGCTGAGGTGGGTATAATTACAATATTTAAAAGGCATCTGGATGAGTATACTATTAGGATGGATTTAGAGGGATATGGGCCAAATGCTGGCAAATTGGACGAGGTTAGACTGGAATGCCTGTTCAGCATGGACGATTTGGACTGAACAGTCTGTTTCTGTGCTGAATGACTCTATGCGACTTCCCAGTATCTGACCTGCTCTTGTATTCACAGCATTTCTATGGTTGGTTAGCTAAGGTTAGCCAACTGTATGGCAGTTCCGAAGAAGGGTCACTGGACCCGAAACAATAACTCTGCTTTCTCTCCACAGATGCTGTCAAACCTGCAGAGTTTTTCCAGCAATTTCTGATTTTATTTCCACGGCTGTTCTGATTAAGTTTATGCCTAGGATGTTGATGGTGGCAGAGTCTGGTAGTGACGTCAAATTAGCAATTCAGTTTTTAGGTACGTGTGGGTAAGAGTTCCCAGCAATGACCACTGAATTAGGATTGGACAACTGTTTGATGGTTAGAGTGGGGGATATGACAGACCAGGCTGAACACAATTCTGCTGTTGCTGATGAAAAACATCATTGTGCGTTTGTCCAGTTTGTTAGATCTGGCCTGAATCTATCCCATTTAGCCTGTAGGGCTACATAGCTGATGGTGCTTATCACCTAAGACAGGATTTCATAGAGTCACAGTTGTCATTCCTACCAACACTTTCACGGACAGGTGCGTTTGTGACATGTAGCCTGATGAGGGCTACTTCAAGTAGGGATTCCCAAACCCCCCACCATTAGTTCATTCACCAATTGCTGTAGACCCAGTTCAGCAGATTTCTTTTGTATATAGAATAAGATTATTTGTCAACGTAACAGAAAATGTGATTCACTGTGCAAAATTCTAAGACATTTCACTTGAATAAGACATTATATAGATACAATGAATATTGCAGTCAAGAGTCATACAGCACAGAAACAGACCCTTCAGTCCAACCATTCCATGCTGAACATAATCCCAAACTAAACTAGTCCCACCTGCCTACTCCTGGTCCATAACCCTCCAAACCTTTCCTATTCATCTATCTACCCAAATGTCTTTTAAATGTTGTAACTGTACTCACATCCCCACGGCTTCCTCAAAGTTCACTGCGCGTGTGAACCGCCCTCTGTGTAAAAAAATTTGCCCCTCATTTTTTTTTAAAAATTTCTCTCCTCTCCTTAAAAACGTGCCCCCTACTCTTAAAAGCCCCCATCCTAGGGAAACGACACTTACCATTAACCATATCTACACCTCTCTTTATGTTATTAACTTCTATCAGGTCACCTCTCAACCTCCTACATCCCAGTGAAAAAGTTCCAGCCTATCTAGCCTTTCTTTATAACTCAAACCTTGCATACTCAGCAACATCCTGGTAAATTTCTTCTGAACCCTCTCCAGCTCAACAATATTCTTCCTATAACTGGGCGACCAGAACTGGACACAGTATTTCAGAAGAGGCCTCATCTAAGTCCTGTAAAACTTCAACATGACTTTCCAACTCCTATACTCAAAGGATGAGCAATGGAGGCAAGTGTGCAAAATGCCTTTTAACCACCCTGTCTATAGACACAAACTTCAAAGAATTATGTGCCTGCACCCCTAGGTCCCTCTGTTCTACAACACTACTCAAGGCCCTACCATTAATTGCATAAACCCTACCCTTGTTTGTTGTACCAAAATGCAATAGCTTGCATTTATCCAGATTGAACTCCATCTGCCATTTTTCAGCCCATTGACTCATTTGATCAAGAGCCCTTTATAATCTTAGAAAACTTTCTTCACTGTTTACCATGCCACCAATTTTGGTGTCATCTGCAAACCTGCTAACCATGCCTTCTACATTCTCATCCAAATCATTCTTACAGTGTATAAATGACAAACAAAAGAGGACCCAGAACCCTGTGGAATATCTGGACCCTGTAT